TGACCCAAATAGCATTTCTGATAATCTTCTGATCACAAAATTTGTAGATTTCAGCACATTTTGGCAAGTATGCCATAAACTATTTTTTTATATATTTTAAGATTTGAAATGAAGACTATCTCACCAGCCAACAAATTTTAAATTAAGTTTTATATTTTTCTCAGGGCATGACCATGTACAATTGCACATTACTATATAGTTTTCTTATTCCTTGATAATCTTAATGCTTCCACTAGGTAGGTTGGCAAAAAAAATCATGGTTCATAAACTTTTTCAGGTACCTGAATGAAAATAGTACCTTTATTTACTGCAAGTTGAAGTAATGGGATCATTATTATTCCAAAGAATCTAGATTGGTGAGGCGAGTAGAAAGATTACCAAATTATGTAGATATGATTCTAGATTTCAGTATTTGTGGTTGTTTGGATAAAACGAATATCTAAATCAGTTGTTAAATCGTAATGCTTAATTCATTTTTTTATTAAAACAAGTATTTCATTTTTTAGAAAAAAATTCAGCTTGGCTAATATAAAATAATACACAGTTCACTTTCTCTGTATATTATAATTGGGAGGGCTTGTTTTCATTTTTTATTGTTATAAAACTTCAGAATATCCATATTATAACTGAGGACCCAGAAAAAGGTGTAAGTATTTTACAGTTCCAAAATTTTGGTACATATGTATTTTAAAGTGTATTTGAAGGTGTTGAAAACACCTATAGATATGCCTATAACTAGCACTCTGTTCAGAGAAGAGTGAAAACAGGGGCTGAGAGGGAGGTGGTTAAGGCAAAGCTGCAGTTCAATGACAAGAAATCACTTTCTATTTTGAGATGAGGTGTGACAAATTCTTTGACAGCTGTAGTGTAAGCAGCTGAATGAAATTCCCAAGACCAGGCCGAGGTGTTTACCGTAAATGATGAGCTGATTCTTAGTAAGAAGATATAAAAAGTAACTCCTGTATCACAGCATTAAACATTCTTTTGTATTTCCATCTAGGATGACACTGAGCAGAGATGATTGCAAATCCTGCTCCATGCTTATAAATGAATTTTTTTTTTGTTCAGCAAAATGCGTACTTTATCATAACATCCTAATGTTAAAACTTGTATCTATTTTAGGGGTTTTCAATTGTTGCCCTAAGATCCCCGAATTAAGGTGGAAACCCTTCCTAGATAAACAGAAGCAAAGTAAAGATGAGCAGAAGAGGAAAAAAGAAATTCAATGAAAACAATAAGTCAGCACAATTGTCCCCAAGTACAAGATGCTTCCTCTCCTCTGGAAGTTTTCTCTCTCTGTTTATTTACTAGGCTTGTAAGTACCTCAGGCCTGTTTATTTACTAGGCTTGTAAGTACCTCAGGCCTGTTTATTTACTAGGCTTGTAAGTACCTCAGGCCTGTTTATTTACTAGGCTTGTAAGTACCTCAGGCCTGTTTATTTACTAGGCTTGTAAGTACTTCAGGCCTGGGGTGAGCAAGAACACTGCACTTTCTGCTATATGGAGAGTTCCTATAACTTTAATGAGTGGATTCTTTAAAACAATGACATAGGATGGGCTTTTTTCTTTTTTTTCTCCCATGGAAAAAGGCAGAGAAACATCAGTTTTCTTGAATGAATTGTAGAAAGGGCCTGTGCTTGTCTTGATTTACAGCTCTCACTTGTAAATTAACTGCAAAGCCTGAACATATGTATCAGTTACTCATTTTTCCTAAAGTATTTCAAGGACCACCTCGTAAAACAAGGAAACTCCACAACACGCACACATATTCAAGTTGTTGCATAATGCATGTATATAAAATACTTAACTGTGGCTTAACGTTTGTTCTTAAATACCAGAATGAAACAAGAAGGCTTGGAATAATTAATGAAGATGCCCAGAAATAAACATTAGAAAGCCTTTGGGAAAATGAGATCCTACAATTGTGAATCAGCTATCCAAAGCAGTTTTCGATTTAATTTGTAGAATTAGTACTCAAGACAATTTAGCTAAAAAGCACAGTCAACTGAACATAAGGTATTAAAAAGAAGAAAGAAGGGGCTAAGAAGTCTAGAATTAATACAAAACTACCTTCATACTAAGAAATTAGTGGAGAAACTAGAAGAAAAGGAATTATACTAAAATATTAGAAAGGTACCATTAGCCGAGATGTCAAAGACAGGATTCAAGAAATGTGTAAATTGTCAATTTTTGAAAAGATTGTTATTTCTACTAATTAAAAAAAACAACACATTCACCATTTGAATTGATTTCATAATATTTGCAAGCATGAATAATTTTTTGTTTGTAATTAGTTATATGGTTATTAAATCATTAAATGAAAATGTGATATATTTAAATGATTTATATGTTATGTATGTTAATTTTTAGGGCTCTCTTTTTCATTTCAATTTATTCTTTTTAATTTTCCTTTTATTTGTTTTGGTTTTTTAACTTTCTAACTTTCTAACTAATTAATTCATTGGATGTGTGCATATTACTAGTCAAATCAAATAAATCTTTATTATGTTCATAAGGGAATGGGGTAACATTAGTAGGGAGAAATACAAAATTAAAACAGGCAAACTAAAAAATTAAAAATCTAACAGTCATTAGTAAAATGTCATTAGTAGAAGTGAGCATAAGATATTCAGGTCTTGGTGTATTCGAGTCTTTTCTCTTGTAAGATTGAGAGTATCTTGGCGACGTTTCGACAAAGTCCCACTCGTCATCTTCAGGCTGGGGTCTTCAGCTTCGTGCTTGTGCGAGCAAAGTGTGATCGGAGCTGCCATCTCTCTATATATATTGGTGTGTGTGTGTGTGTGTGTGTGTGTGTGTGTGTGTGTGTATGTGGAGTGCTGGCTTAGTTGCTGTAGGTGGATTGGTTGGCTGTGTTGGAGTTATTATTTGTGGATTTTTTGGCTGTTTCGTAAAATCCTGAGAAGTTGAGGTGCTGGCTGTGTGCCCATTAGTCTTTTGTGTTGTAACGACCTGGGTAATGGGTTGTGTGACATCCTGAGATCTAGTGTAGTGATATCCTGAGTTCTGTGTTGCACCATCCTGGGTGGTTGGCTGTGTTGTAACATCCTGAGCTTTAGCGTTGTAGCCTCCTTAGTTCTGTGATGTGATGTCCAGGGCTGAAGGCTGTGAAGTAACATACCGGGCTTTGGTTTGGCTCCGAGTTTGCGGTTTAGCTCTGTGTTCATGGCATGTGTCCGTTTGCTTTGTGTGGGGGTCGGAGGGAAGTGCAGCAGCTGGTGATGTCGTCGTGGTTTGGCTTCTGGATGGTGGTTGCATTACGTCTGAGGGATGGATTTGGGCTTGGGTTTGGGTCTGGTGAGGGTGAATGGTGGTGGCGTACTGTGTTGTTCTGGGTCCGGTGTCAGTTTTTGTGGCTAGGACTTGTTTGTTGATTAGGGCTAGTTTCCAGATGTCTGGGAGGTATCGTCACGTTTATTCAAACGGATACATGCCATGAACACAGAGCTAGACCGCAAACTCGGAGCCAAACCAAAGCCCAGTATGTTACTTCACAGCCTTCAGCCCTGGACATCACATCACAGAACTCCGGAGGCTACAACACTAAAGCTCAGGATGTTACAACACAGCCAACCACCCAGGATGGTGCAACACAGAACTCAGGATATCACTACACTAGATCTCACGATGTCATCACACAACCCATTACCCAGGTCGTTACAATACAAAAGACTAATGGGCACACAGCCAGCACCTCAACTTCTCAGGATGTTATGAAACAGCCAAACAATCCACAAACAATAACTCCAACACAGCCAACCAATCCACCTACAGCAACTAAGCCAGCACTCCACACACACACCAATATATATAGAGAGACGGCAGCTCCGATCACACTTTGCTCGCACAAGCACGAAGCTGAAGATCCCAGCCTGAAGATGACGAGTGGAACCTCGTTGAAACGTCGCCAAGATACTCTCAACCTTACACGCGAAAAGACCCAAATACACCAAGACCTGCATACCTATACTCGTGAAAATCTACAAAAACAAAATAAGATATTATGTATATTATTATTTTTTGTTTCTGTATATTGTTTCTTCTGTATTTCTTTTAAAATTTGCAATAAAATTACAAGTCTACAAATAGTTTTCAACGTATGACCATTCCAAGTTACGATGCTGCTGAACTAGTGCTGTTTATGGCTTGTCCTTGGAGGTCTGGCAGTCCTAGCAGCTCCATGGTAACATGATTGCAATCAGAGGCCTTATGATCTTATTTCTCTGCTGGCTTCCCGAGAAAATCAGTGGGGAAGCTTGCAGGGAAGGCTGCAAATCACTGGAATAAGTGTTCCCTACACCCGCACCCAGATCTTCTGTGCTTGAATTGTGCTTCCACTCATGCATTCCTGCATACCTTCCCCAACCCACACAGTGCCTCTCCCGTATTCTTCCTGACCTTTGCCTCACTGTATTCTTGGGCACCCTATATATTCTCCCCAACTTGCATATTACCTGTCATAACCCCCATGCCCCCATGCCCTCTTACTGACCATGCAGAACCTCTTGTACACCCCCTTGCATCCTCGCACCTTCTCCTCTTGCGATGCCTTTTGCATACTCTGGTAGGTAAGAAAACACTTAGCAATTTAAGCAATCAGATAGCCCTGTTTACCCTCTAATTAATTTCTTTAATTTTAAAATTACTAAGCCATAACCAATACTTACATGGGGCTCCTCAATATAATCATTAACAACTCTTTTGGTTTCTAGCACTCCAGATCCAGGAGGATCTTGTGCATATCATTCGGTGCAGGCCCAGGGGTAATCAAACTGTTCAGTTTTGCCAATAATGTTTGGACTGAACTCCATGGAACACACCTTGAAGAAGAATAACAACAAGGACCTTATGTATGATAAGTAGCCACTTATCACTAGCCTCTAGAGGAGGGAAGTAGTGTAAAACCCAGTGACTATGTGTTTCTCTGTGCCTAATTTTATGTAATCTTAGCACTAATTTCAAAACCTCTTTTCTATTTTCAGAATTCTGGAAGATTCTCCTGATCTACTGTGTGTCGTAAGAGAAAGATGGAGAGTAAAAAACAGATTCTGAATCTGGCCCCAGTCACCATTTGCTTTAGCACTGGCATAAAGCTCCTTACAAGGGAATCAAAAGCTCAGCAAGGAAAAAGAAAAGGTCTTAAACCTCTCTTCGAGCAACAGTAAGAATGTAATCGTAGCCAAGTAAATGCGTTGCCATTTCTATAAATGCTCTAAATTAGTGATATTATATTTATATCTATTCATAGCGGAGCACAGTTTCATCTGTTGAAGTCCTGCAAAAGGTAATAGATCAAATTTCAGTTGAATTAAGACATTTATAAATATTTCAGCATACGAGCTATAAAATTTAACTCTGTGTTTCAGGACACAATCTCCCCCTACCCATCTGGCTAACTGAGAGATCTTCCAACTGGTCTTATAATAATTTGTAATGCGTGATCAACATGCATTGATTTCTAATACCTAACAACAAAGGAAGGAGAAAAAAATACATGTAAAATGCTTGTGATGGAAACAGTTATTATCCTGATGGAGGGAAACAGGGAAATTGACTGCCCAAATTAGATCTTAGCATAGATCTGTGGTAGCATATATTGGGAGGGAGGGAGAAAAAGGAAGGTTTGAGGAGAGACAAAAGGACAGGCTTAATCTTGAAGGACCTGAACAGTATAGGTATACTGTGCCAGCATCTTATTCAAGAAAACCGCAAAGGCAAATAAATATCCACTGTACACAGCTTAGGGTGGTATACAGGGTTAAATAATATAGTACTCACAAGACAACCTGCAAATTATATCTTAGAAAGGAGGAGAAAATGTGTGAAAGATGAAACTGGAGAACACCTGACAAAGAATGCCGCCTGCTGTTATCTCATCAGACTCCTTGACTCTCCCAGTTTAAAAGCAAGAGGGCCCCCAGTAGTCACTCAGGCATCCCAGTTTCCTGCTTCACAGCCTCCATCTCCTGGAAATAGCCTGTCAGGTCCCATCTGCTTTTTTCTTTTGTGAAGTTGCCAACCCCCTGAGAATGGGTCCTCTGTTCCTGTCTCCTTGCTGATGCAGGAAAACCAAAGGGGAATAACCCCTCCAATCTGCCAGAAATTGGTTTTCTGATATCAAGGACTGCTTCAAGGAGCTGCAATCTGCAACACTTAAATGAAAATTAGATTCGTAAGTACAGTGTTTTCTTTTGTTGTCTGATTGCAAAACCCTTCATTTTTGCCTGCTTCTTGCTGTGTGCGTTGAAAGGGGCTTAAAGTGAAATAAGACATTAATGATAAAAATCCTGAAAATAAGCATGCATTATGACATCTGACATGGTATGAAAAACAACAACAACAACACTCAGACAAGGCTTTGCTAGCATTTCCAACTTGCCCCAAATGGAAACTTTTGTCTTTGTGGCTTCAAAGACTGCACAAGTTTAAGATAGTACAATTAGTTGCCATGAGATTTGCCAGAACTCAGAAGGCCATTAAACATGTGTCTTATTAGATATGACACAACCATTAATCACACAGAGCATTTCTTTTGATTGGTTTATCAATCAAGCCACCATGTCTTTACCTTACGTTTAACGCATTTATCTAAGGTCATAAATTTGCATTGTGTTTAAAGGAGGTATCGTTTTGATTGTCTGGGTTCCGCTTTAATCCAGATTCTTTTTATAGCTCTGATCTCCATTGCCTACAAGGAAGCTTCACCTCTGATCTCTAATTCGGCAGGGATTTCATAGTAGATTTGGCGTTCAGATTTATATTTTCATAGTAGGACCCAATTCTTGGAGCTGGCCCGAGATACCACAGATCTTTGTTAGCTGTACTGAACAGCACAACTTGTAGAAATATATTATTTACTATCAAGCAAAACAATACATAGTCTCAAACTATTGCTGATTCAGACCAAAAATCTATGTAGTCCAGAACTGTATACTTACAGTGTTCAGCTAATTGCAATAAGAAAATACCACAATTAGGATTTGTACTTGTTAACTTTCCCCCATTTGTCCCCCTAGCAAATGAACTATGCATGCACTTCCAGTCCTGAGAGATGACAAGTGCTAAAAGCCCTCTTTATTTTATTTTTCAGAAGTAGCTATACTATCATCACTTATTGATTAATACTACTTAATTTAACTCTGCCTGAAGGCAGAAAAAACAGAGATGTGTTGCCTTAACCCTTTTCCAGAATTTTCCTTAAGAAACAGATAAATATGAATGCCTGGAAGTCTGCCTCATTGGTAAGATGCTCCCCAGACTTAGGGTAAATATTAAGGTTGCTCCACCTTCTAAGTCAGTACATTTATGAGAAAAGTCAGAAATGTAAAATCTAAGAGAAGATAGACATAATTATCTAAACCTATCGGAATCTTAATCATTCAAAATATCTAAGGGAGGATTTCTGTGACATCATCTCTCTCTCTCTCTCTCTCTCTCTCTCTCTCTCACACACACACACACACACACACACACACACACACACAGAGAGAGAGAGAGATAACTTTGTATCTGTTAGAAGACAAAATAAACATCACCCATCAGTTTTTCTGGGATAAAAGGGAAAGGACATTCTTGAAATTTTGTCCCAACTCAATAACTTGATCAAGTCCTTCCATATGATACTTATCTATTTAGCATAGGGTTGAGAAAGGCAGGTTGGGATCTAGATTTTTATCTGGTTACATCTGATTGCACACTCTATTTAGAAGAACTGAATCAAGAAAGATACAAGTAGTCCTCGATTTAAAACATTTGTTTAGTGACTGTTCAAAGTTGCAACAGCACTGAAAAAAGTGATTTATGACCTTTTTCACCCTTATGACCATTGCATCATCCCCAGGGTCACGTGATCAAACTTTGGATGCTTGGCGACTACTATTTCCCAGGATCATCTGATCACCTTTTGTGACCTTTTGACAAGCAAAGTCAATGGGGAAGCCAGATTCACTTTACAACAAAGTTACTAACTTAACAACTGCAGTGATTCATTTAACAACAGTGACAAGAAAGATCGTAAAATGGGACAAAAGTCACTCAACAACAGTCTTGCTTTGTAAGAGAAATATTGGGTTCAATTGTGGTCATAATTTGAGAATTACTTGTAGTACACAATCACTATCAAGATAAATAATTGCTGATAGTCCTGTCTAACTAATCTCTTTGAAAGTTGCTCAGATTAGGTTTTATTTCTTGTTTCAAAGAATTCCATGATTTACATTTCATTACATGTCTACCCCTATTTTCTATTAATGCCTATCCAATAGACAGACAAATATAAAAAGAATACAGTGACTCATTACTATATTTTCAAAAGAAAGCATTATTATGCTTTCCTGGTTATGAATTAATGGGTGTTAATCACAGTTTTAAATAAAGTTTGGGATCCTTTTATTATTTATGATGATCTGATTATCAATGTATCAAATTTTTCTTTCTTAATTGTATTGGAAAGATTTTTTAAGCCTATTGTTTTCAATGTAAAGAGTTGAGAGACTTGCTGGTTTAAAAATCTTAAATTTGTACAATAAAATCTAACTTTATAAAGAATCACTGAATGAGCTGTCAAACTAGAGTACTGCTGACTTTAATAGCACAATCAATTTTTCTTACACCTGGCAGGCAATTAACTGTTTAGGCTGTTTATGATGAAAACAAATATCAGAAGCTATTATTATGTACTGGAAAAAGATTAAATAGGCCAGTTGTAATAACTGTACATTTATTGTACAGTTATACAAATACAGTTATTGTAATTTGTATTGTAGTTCTAAATCCAGAAACGGTCTGAAGAAATTAATGCATTTTTTTTTTAACAGCACATAGCTAAGGCTACTTGACTTAATTAGGTTTGGCAAAGTTTTACCATTGTTACTTCCAAAGTGTTTAGGTTGAAATTCTAAACAGGTTTATCCAGGAATAGATTACATTGAAATTTGTGAATTTATTTTTCAAAAATAGCTTTATATGTACTTAACAATTCATTATATACTTGAAATATTTCAGGGTCACAACACAATATATAAATATTGCTCATTTTTCATTAAATCACAAAAGCATTGCCAAAAAAATATATCCTATATACGTTTTATACTCCCAAGTGTTTACAAAAAAATATATCCTATATACGTTTTATACTCCCAAGTGTTTACTAACTACCATGTCTATTGCTAAGAATGTATCACTTTGCATCATGATGCCATTGGTATTATCAAGCTTTTGAGCAGAATCTACAGCAAGAGTCGTTTCTTAGTTTAATCTCCAATTCACTCAAGCTCAAAAACCACTCAGGCTTTTCTGACTGAGTTCCACAGCTTCTTCTCCTTCCCCAGATAATATTTTATCTCTGGATCATTGGGGGATGGCATGATAATCAGTTTGGAGTCTGCCTGGCTTCCTAAGGTTCCAATTCCCTTTTGAGTTGATTCACTATATGATCTAGTATAGTTCAATGCTCTTCCATCTCTCTCTGCCTCCCTCCCTCCCTCCTTTGCCACGAAACCTGACTTTTATGAGCATCTTATAGCTTTTGGTGGGATGCTTTCTTGGACACCGTTAAATTCTTGATTTTTCAAGACACCTACAGCACACATTGACTGTTTAAATACGGTGGTTATTCTATTTCCTCAAAAGAAGATTCTGCTCTGTGGTTGTTTCTGTTCAGCCTAAGGCAGAATGATTTTCCCACTTCCAAGCAAAGAAGGAGATTAAAATTCCTATCCTTTTCTTTTCCTCATTTCTTGCCTCTGATACAGTAGTGGGGCAAACCTTACTTCTTGCTGATATGGATTGATTTCTGGCTTTCTTGTGATCTCACTTTCACTTTGAATGTAATTGCATAAACTAATGTTTAAAATTTTATCAATTATTCACCAGAGAGGAAATAATATTGTTGCACAGTGCTACTCATTTTTCTCATGCTGGGTTTCAATTGGTGGCTTAGAAATAAAATATACCACATTTTTTAAAGCTATAAAGAGCTTTCTCTCAACTTATTTTGGAGCCTTTTCTTCACATCAGCAGACCGTTCATATAAAGAAATGTAAGAAGTATCATCTTGATTTGGGCAAGGAAAATGGCCATCTTATAGCTAAACATTTCTGCTATCAATTATCAAAAATTAAACATGCGCCCACAACTGCTTGACCGGGCATTTACATATAACCCAATTACTCATACTGATACTTCTGGAAATCTTTCTCAGAACTTGCTACATCAGTGCTGATGAGCTGTACTGCAGCCTTGACGCAGTGTCTTGTGAAGGTTTTCACTTTAATAACTAAAGACTAATCAGGAAACACAAATGTACAAACAATCTCATGTCATTAGAACAGCACAGGAAGGTTAGCTGATAGGGTTGTTCTCATTCATGGTGACAGAGAAATTTCTATGTGGTATATGGTGATGACAGCAACAGAATTTCTAAGCAATATAATAAAAAGCCTGGATATCTCTTGTGCATAGCCTATGTGTAATATACATATAATGAGTATCATTATATTACTTAATTATCATAGTTATTTAAACATTAAGTCTGCAATCTGATAGATAATATTCATAGTAATGAGCAGAAGCTGTAGTAGTAGTGCTTCGGGGCCAGATATCTTTTAATAAATCTACAAGCACCATCAGGCTTTTTCTTCCCTCCGGGCTGTTATCTTTTTCATATATAGATATGAAAACATATATGTTAAGTCTTTTAGCAGTTAAGTGCTAAAATTAAAAAGGTCAATTGTATGATGAAGCACACAGTCCTGCATGTTTTAAATGGCACCCAAGACTAAAACAGCTAATTGCTTTTTTCACACTGCAGTTCGCTTAATTGCCCATAAGGCAAATGGGCTCATATGAATTAAAAAAAAAGAAGGGAGGAATCCATCTATCTTTTCCTTGTAAGCCCGTTGGGGCTTATTTGGATTGAGTGTTGCTATAAAGAAATAGAAATTACCTGGAGCTTGTTAAAATTATAATCAAGGAAAAGATGGGAAAGTCCACAATTATGTTCTAATCCATCTGCCTGTGTATCCCTTTCCTTCCAATTCCAGTCAGTTGCTGTGGTCACAGCTGTATTCCTGGGGGGACAGCATGGAAATCTCCTTATTGAACAAACATCCAATAACAAAATAACGGTATGACTTGGCTTGCTTATTTCTGTATCTTTAGAGCTGTTTATTTGTCAGTAAACCAAATAAATTAAAGTCATCTATTGTTATGTAGCACATCTTTAGTTCTTCCCTGCATAAGGAGACCTTGTTGAATGATACCACATTTTGCCTCCAAGCTTCAAGCTTGCATTATGCATCAATGCATTATATATAAATAACCTAGATGAAGAGATTAAAGGGGCATTCATCAAATGTGCATGACATCAAGCTGGGGGGGGGGATTGTTAATATTTTAGAAGATAGACCCCTTACTGGATTGGAAAGCCCTTCTCTCAATCACTCATGTCCTGATCATCTCCTGTATGGACTATTGCAATATGCTATACATGGGGCTACCCAGTGGTGGGATTCATCCCATTCGCACCATTTTGGCAAAACCAGTAGCTAATTTTTTGTTGCCCAGGCCCAGAATGGACTTCTGGAAGCAGCATCCACACAGAGAACCGGTTGTTCACATATTTGAATCCCACCACTGGGGCTATCCTTGAAGAGTATCGAAAAACTACAGTTGCAGCAGCGCAAGCAATTTTGGGCACCCAGGGATGGTGCCTTTAACACCTTTACTGTGTGAGCTGGCATTTGGTGCCATTTTGCTTCTAGGTCCAAGGTGTTGGGTATTACCTTTAAAGCCTTACATGGAATGGGGCTAGGTTATCTGGGTAATTATCACCATCACATCGATCCATCCCATCTGGTCAGGCAAGAAATTATGTTATGGACTCCATCATTTAACAAATTTCAATTGATAAAGTTCAAGAAGACAGCCTTATCTGACATTGTCCCCATCCTTTAACGTATTCTCCCCACCCTCGAGGTGAGACAAATCCCCATCCTCCTTTTGAAAAAATGTGAAGACTTGGCTTTGTCAACTCAAGTAGATCTCACAGAGTGGCATGCAACCATGAGGCTTGTAAGTGCCTTGAAGGTTGCCTTTAAGTTATTTTTTTTACTTTGCTCCCATTTTGCTGGTATATTAGATTTTTATACATTTTTTAATGCTTTTAGCAGTAAACTGCCTAGAGTCATTCTGTGAGTGAGAGGGGCAGTGCCCAAATTTGGCAAATAAATAAAATAAAAATAATGATATATTGTTGGAAGTGGGTACAATTGTCTAAGCAGGTGACAAGTTTTCACTCACAAAAAGAATGGCTGAATGCTGGAGAATTTGTTTTTAGGTATTGTATGTACAGGTATAAACAGACACTAGCTTGGAATTTAAGCAGATGAAATCAGCTTTGGGCACCAAATGCAATCATAAAAACTATCAATAGGTATGGGGGTAATGTCAGTCTCCAAGTAAACCAGACAGGAAACACGACAATCTGAGTAATTCTACTTTATTATAAGGCTCCAATAATAGATACTTGCAAGTGTGAAAGTATAAATCTCCCTCTTTTTTTATTGCCTGATTCGTTAGGGAAATCCTTTCTAAGTTATTCTGCCTATTACTCAGTTGTGGGCTTCTCTCTCTTTTATCTGATCATTTTCTAGGCAGCATCCCCCACCCCCCAGTCATTCTCACATCCCATTACAGGTAAGCACTTTCTCCCTCTCCATTCTTCCAGTTAAAATTGCAGCACCCAATCACAGGAGATAACGCTATTTTTAAATTGGATACTCAAAATTGATTTAACATTAGTATAAAATAATCTCCTTTGGTCTTCTACAAAAAAAAACTGGAACTACATTTCAATCTTATATGCCAACTCTTGGTTTTTCTAAGAGAAGAATATTATACCTTTGACCTAAACAACTATGAAACCGTGGCTGAGATGAAATGGGCATCCTTTATTTTATGTGCCAAAATGTTTACCCTTTCTGAGTAGCTTTTGAGAGAAAGTTTCAAATAGGATATAGGAACAAGTGGTCAACACTCTCTGTATTGTATTGTAGTTTCACTCATGGAAATTATCCCTTACCACAATGCATAATGCATAATGCATTTATTGTTTGGAAAACAGTAATATTTTTCCATACCTCCTTACCTCAATAGAGTTGGACAATTTGGAATAATTGCTGTTGTGCTCTTACGGATAATCAGTAACCCTAATCCTACATTTATACTGACCCCTTATTTGGCTGGGTTCATTTAAGGAGAGAAGTAAAGCTGAATTAAGTCATGTTCAGAAGGCATAAATATCAGGACTAAACGAGATTCAATTATTGTAGTAGGGCTGATGATGATTCAGTCTGTCCATCTATTCTCCCAAAGGATGAAAGAAACCCTTTCCTTTGAAATTAGTTCTACTTCATAGCAGACTGGATAAGCTTCACATATTATTTATTAGATTTATATCCCACTTTGCCTTTACATCAGGGATCCCCAGCCTCTGGGCCAGGGCCCTCTAGTGGGCTGTGAACTATTTGCAACCAGGTCGCGGAAACAACGGCCGAGTACACCTGCATCCCCACTTGCGTGAGCAGCAAACAAGCATGGAGCTGCGCACATACACATGCTTGCCGGCCAGTTGCATGGAACCATCCCTTCTCCCCCCCCAGTGGTCCACAAAGCTTTCTCTCCATTGCTACCGGTCCACAAAGCCAGAAAGTTTGGGGAACTCTACTCTATATTGTATTTCTTTCTCCAATTTTATCCTCATTAAACAACATTGAGAATTATGATAGGCTGAAAAATGTATGACCATTGACATTCCATGGTTTAATGTGGACTTGAATCTAGTCTCTTATGTAATCCAAACTTGAAGCAAGACATCATATTAATTATCACCAAGGTAGTGGGGAGGTAGATTGGTGCAAGCTATTGATAAGTAGTCAGTTAAGATGTTTACCATTTAACAAGAGCTAGTTATACAGTAGTAGACAATTGGTGAAGATTAAAATGGACAACCAGGAAGTATGAGACCTGCACTTCAAAATTTACTATGACACAATTGGTCAGACTATATTATTCTTCTTTTCCATTTATCCCCATTATCTTTTTTTATTTATTGTGTTTTTTATTCATTAGGATTCTATTACTAGTTCTGGTTATTTTTTTAAAGCAGGTGCATTATTTCTAGGAATCCACATTTAATCAATTAATCAGATCAATTTCTTAAAATCCTTTTCACTGCCCTTATTTGGACAAATTTCCAATGCAAGCAATTATGTTGTGGAGAGCAAATGCTATCTAAAGAAAGGGCCTATTTTTTTCCTCACAGAGTAGAAAAACATTTTAAAATAAATGGTGCCTACTGTAACTTATCCAAACTCAAATATGCATTTCCTTCAGAAAAGTTGTTTATATGCATATGCAAATTTAATTGCTTAATTAATTAGGTAAGAGTTAATCAGCTAACAGCTGTAATTTCTTTGCAGGTAGCTTTTGAAGTTTACATATGAAAGAAAAGTCCGTGGTAAGGTATCAGATGATTAGTCTCCATGCCTGAATAAACAATTTTTGTTTCTTTGCTGAGGAAATAAGCTTGTGTTCATGTAGGCCACACTGATTTTAAGGTCTGAGAGGGAAGAGGAAAATGTTGCTAATACAGCCAATTCCTTTAAGTCTGCAACCTTAAGAGCTGTTCCTGAGGGTATGTCCCACTGTACACAAGGAGCGTTTTCTGCGGATAAATATAATATTGCACTGTACTGTACAATTCTATCATTTGTAATAGAGTTTAGTCCTAGTTTTCTTCGCCAACATATCTTTGTCCCATGAAATGTCTTCCTCTTATATTATATTCTCCTTGGAGTTAGGTTCCGTCATCAGATAGAAACCCTGATCTAATGTCATAAATAAGTTACTATTGCATCTGTTAGTATCTAACAGACCAAATAATCATTTGATTTAGTATATCAGAACTTCCAAGTGGTGCAAATTGCGTATAATTGTTCTGCTTGTGTTCAGTTTGCATCATTTCACTTTCTGGCATAATTTGGTTTTGTTGATAATGCTATCTCTCAGCCTTTAATCTTCTGTGTGTTTTCTTAACTCAATTCCTATCTTGCTCGGATTTATGTAACTATGCAATTATTCCATTGGATGCATGATTGTATTTATTCATTGTGATATCATTCATTTCGCTGGTCCTTTTCAAATTCTTGCATATGTTATTCCTCAGATTAGAGGACTGATTTTTTTTCTGCTCCAACTAATTTTGCTGTGTCATCAAAAAGATACCTGCCTCTTCGTATTGAAATAAAGGTGTCCTATTATTATGTCCTTCTGATTAATTTTGCCTTGATTAAAAGTTTTTATTTATTTAACTGATTGATTTTTCAATTCTAATAACTTTGGCCCACACTGAAATCATGTTTTCGCATGGTTGCAACGATTTTCAATAAATGCAATAAATTGTTTATTATTTTTATTATTAAAATGTAAAACAAAAGGAAACTTTTACGAGAATATATATCCTTCATATTCAGTTTGATTTATATATACAGTCACACCATATTATAGAATTATTTTTTTATATTTAAATCAGTTTACCTGCTTCATCAGAAGAAAAAAAAAAGGATTAAATATACAGATGAGCATAAACAGTGCTCATTTCTAAACATGAAAACTCCAGGAAGAAAATATTTGTTCAAATCAAGAATTAGATAAATTGTTGAAACCCTGGTATAACTGACATATATAAAATATATTGGGATCTGTTAATAGAAACCATCGTGCAATTATAAAATTATGCAGTGTCCATTTCTTTGTCCTCTTGTTGGTTTCCAACGCTGTTGACATGTAATTCAATAGAACATCAGCATCTATAATAATTAAGGAGACTTCCTGAACAAAATGAACGTGTGAGATATCATCCGGCTCCTTGAGAGACACTATGGCATAGGATCTCATAGAATAAACCAATGTTACGGTATATATCAACACAAGGTAATATTTTTGCAAATTAAAGTTTTAAATTATGCAAATAAGATTTATAGGAATAAACCTTGTTTGTATATATAAGATTGTAAGTTTCTTTGGAATACATGTATGAGACATTACAATTCCTTATTCTGTATCTCCTTATAATCTTGAATATCTAGCAATATAAACTAGCAAGCATTTATAAATTATAGTTGCAAGCTTATTATTTTGTAGAGATTCCGCTAAATCTATAAGCAGAGGCAATTTTGAATAGCTTAGACCTTCATATAGATATGTCACAAAGTGTTTTGATTGCAAGTACTTCCATTTTTTGGATTTTGGCAAATAATATTTATGTTGCAAAAACCTCAAGTAGCATCATCACCATCTGATTCAATCAAATGACTATGCTCCTGTTGACCTGTCTTGTCCAGTAAAATAGATATTTTCTATTTTCTAATGTGGTTTTCCCCATATCATTAATGTAGCATGATAAGATTGTGTGCTATTGCATCTCACAACACTCTGGCAGCTATAGTAAAAACAAAGAAAATCTACATTTTTCAAAAGAACTGGGCTTTTAAATTTATTAGATGGGTGCCTATTTTAAAGCAGCTACTAAGGAGAAATTTCTAGCAAACAAACCATGTCATGAGACAGAAGTTAATATAATATAAAGTTAGATTATATTAATATAAAGTTAAAAGGGGGCCTTTTTGAGTGAAAAATAAGGGAGGAAATTTCTCCATAAACTTCCAAAACAATGTGCTAAATTTCTGAAAATCTCTCTCTCTCCCTTTCTCACTAGCTGTCATATGACATGGATGATCACTAGCAATATATTTTAAATATATTAATTTTACTGCAAATATTCTGCTTTTGTTCAGCCCACCTATCTGAACTTAGTGCTATTTCTGAATAATACTATTTCTAGTGAATATTTCTGATATATATAAGGTACCTCTCTTCTTGTGTAAGATAAATTATTGCTTCTGTGCATTATTAGAATAAAATTGATTTTTATATCTTGACAGCCTCTAATGGCATCAGTTGTGATTTAGATCAGTTAATATTAATAGTCATTTCTAGTGAGTTGGGTCCATAACTCAATTCATTGTATTAATTCTTGAATAAAAAAACATTACCAGTATCAACAGATCATCTGTGAGCAAGGTTATTTAATTATTTATTTAATTATTTAATATTCCTTGTCATTATGATTGAAACCAACAATATCACTATTATGTGTAATCTCACTTTCTAATAGTCTAAGCGTAAAACATTAATGGAAGAAGGAGACTTTTTTTTTTTAAAAAAAGGGCTTCAATAAAATCCCACTGGTCTTGACCTTGGTCTTAAATTGACTAAGAAGTGTCAAAGGAAAGAACATCTTGAAAGAATGAAAAAAGGACATTGCCAATTAATTTTATCAAAGTGTTTCTGTGCACCCAGTGAAATAATTACAAGAATTTGCAACTTGGCACAATGTAATGCTACAAAAATGTCTACTAATCTCAGATTATCGATTTCTTGGCTGTGATGAATAAATACTACTTGATAGGATGTATTAAACTTGCTGTCTGTGGAGATTCTCAGTCATCCAGGTCATGGTTGTCCCAAAGGTGCTTTTTCAAGAGACAGCTGGATTTTCTTGTTTTTCTTTGAAGATGTTTCTCTTCTCATCCAAGAAACTTCTTCATCTCTGACTGGATGGTGGGGAATGGAAGGATTTATACTCCTTGCAGACAGCTGGTCATTTGCATTCTTTTAGAGAGTCGTTTTACCAGACAAGACTTCTCTGGTCTGAAAGTGGATTTAAAAATGATAGGCTAGAACAGGGGTCTTCAAATGGGCAATTTTAAGACCTGTGACCTCCAACTCCTAAAATTCCATAGCCAGTATAGCTGGCTGAGGAACTCTGAAGTTGAAGTCTTAAAGTTACCAAATTTGGAGATCCCTGGGCTAGAAGAATGATATGGAAAAAGATGCTACACTGGATATTCAAATGAAACTGGCTGATGCAGTGGTTGGATTCAAATATGTGAACAACTGGTTATCTGTGTGGATGCCACTTCCAGAAGTCCATTCTGGGCCTGAGCAACAAAAAATTAGCTACCGGTTCTGTCAAACTAGTGCGAAATGGCTGAATCCCACCATTGGATTGATGTCATAATTAAAAAGAATATATAAATAAGAAACCCAAGATAAAGACCTAGATAACTTTTCTATCTTGGATTTGGAAAAGAGACTTGTCAAACCTTGGAAAACTTTTATGAGAAGAGACAAAGTGAAAAGAAAGTTCTAGAATGTTATTTGAAGGAGTTATAGATCAAAATTGTTAAAGGACAGGAATATCAAGTTGGCTTATTTGATCAAGGTTAAAATGGATGTGTTGTTAGCTGATCAGACCTGAACAAGGATTTAATGATTTGTTTAGAGATAAGAGATGAGATATGGGAAGAAGAGAACATTTCTTATAATTTAAGGGAAGGGGATAAATTACTAAAAATGTTTATACTTATTATGATTACGGGGAAAGTCCTTTTATGTACAAACACACATGTATATATATAGTGTGTGTGTATATATGGGTGTGTGCGTGTGTGTGTATATATATAATTTTCTTTACTATATTTTTTTTCTATTTCTCTAGTATTTCTTTTCTTCAGTTTCTATTTTTATTCTTTTATCTTTTTTACTTTGTATTATTTTTTATCTCTTTAACTGTAATGTTTAATAAAATTACTGCTAAAAAAGTAGGTGGCCATTTGTGCCCTGGTCTCCAAAACTGGGCTCTATTTGATGAGCTAGAGAAGGGGCGTTGTCTTACCTGAATGCCTTTTCTCAGTACGGAGATGGAGAATCCACCAATGGGTTTTCTCTGTCTGCCTGCTCTTGAGACCAAGTAGCCAAACTTGACATGCCCCCTCTTGCTAGGAGATCCAGTCTTAACGAGGGCGAAGTGGCTGAAGGTGGACGAGGTGTTGGCTCTCAAACCCTTAAATAAGGCCTAACTGACCTAAAGGGTGGGGGTGGATTCTCCATCTCTGTACTGAGAAAAGGCGTTCAGGTAAGACAATGCCCCTTCTCCAGTACAGGAGATGGAGAATCCACCAATGGGACATACCAAAGCCTGACTGTCCTGATGGGTTGGAAACAGATAAGGGCGAAATAGAGTCCCTGGAGACCATTTGCTGGAGAACCCTCCAACCAAAGGAGGCGTCCGCAGAGGCAAAACGGTCGATCCTGTAATGGCGTACAAACAGGTAGGGCGAGGACCATGTCGCAGCCCTGCAAATCTCCTCGATGGACGCCTGAGTGGCCCATGCCGCAGAGGTTGCAGCACTGCGAGTGGAATGGGCAGTAAGATGACTTGGAGCTGGTAGTGAAGAGGACTGGTACGCCTCTGCGATACAGGGCCTGATCCACCTGCCAATAGTGCCAGCGGAAACTTTCTGTCCCAGATAAGCCGGACGGAAAGAAACATCTAGGGCCTCAGACCTACAAAAAGGCTTTGTACGTTTCATATAACACCGCAGTGCCCTGCGGACATCCAGTGTGTGTCACTGCCGCTTCAAGTAATGGGAAGGATTGGGATTGGGGCAAAAATTTGGTAAGATGACTTCCTGTGCCCTGTGGAAGAGCGAATTTACTTTGGGCACATATGTGAGGTCCAGGCAAAGGACCACCCAGTTGCTGTGAAAGATACAAAGGTCATCCCTGACCAATAGAGCGGCTAGCTCAGAGATACGCCTGGCTGATGTGATAGCAATTAAGAACGCAATCTTAAGAGATAGATTCCGTAACGGAACAGTCATTATCGTCTCAAAGGGTGGTTTTGTTCGAGTGCGAAGGACGTGAGGCAATTCCCAAGAAGGATACCTGTGTACCACGGGAGGCCTGGTGTTGCATGCACCCTTAATAAAGGTGCTAATCCTAGGTGGTGAGCTAGGGGAATGGAATCCGCACAGGTGAGTAGTGTGGACAAGGCCGCCACTTGTCTGCGAATAGTCGCAGGGGTGAGGCCTCTGTTCAGACCATCCAAAAGATAATCTACGATCTGAGGGATGGTCATTTTGGACATATCCAGTTGTTGCCTTCGACATCAATGGCAAAAATTCTTCCAAGTAGAATCATAAATGTGATTGGTCGCTGGACGACGTAAGCCTGCATCATGGTAATGGCACGAGAGGAAAATAGTTCTTGTGCCATTATGCTGCGCTCAAGTGCCAGACGGTTAATTGTAAGCATTGGGGGTCCGGGTGTTGGAGGGACTCCTGATGTAGAGACACACAAT